GCCACCAGCCACCCAGGAGCTGTGTGATGGCAATCCCATGGGATGCACCGCAGTGTCAAGCCGAGTCCTGGCACTCAGAGACACGGCTCAGGACAGGGTTTGACCATCCACCCCCCAGAGCCCCCTGGTCGCCCCGCTCAGCAGGGAGCTGGCACACCCCATGTGCGGCTGCTGCAGAGATTAGCTGGTGACACTTAAAATGTGCTGTGACGCCTGGGGAGTGACTTGCAGAAGGACAGAGCCCCGTGGGAGCAGTAATGGGCCTCTGTACCAGCTCACTCACTGACTGCATGTGATGAGAGGGCCCAGGCCAGGCAGGCAGAGCACGTACCTCTCCCACCTTTGGGGTTTGCCATAACTGGGGCGCATCTCTGCGCTTCCTCCTGCTTTTTTGGCTGATGGGAAGCCTGGGAGGACACGCATCCTTTTCCCTGCAATGGGCTGCAGATTGGGGCTGGCATGGAGTGATGGTCCTGGTGAGTTTTCTGGCAGCAGGGCCTCACAGTGGGCTGAAATGTGCTCCTCTTATTTGTCTGACCCTCAGGTCAAGGACGAGGACAAATCTTTAGCTGTGAAAAGACCCGTGAAGGAGGACGGGCCTGTAAGTGTTGCAGGGCATGGGCAGGGTGGAGCTGTGTTGGGGATGGGGCTCACCCTTGGTGGGAACAGACCCCATGCCAGGGCTTGGGGACACCATGGAGGGTCATGGGTTCAGTGGTGCCCTGAGCACTGAGTTTTACCCCTATGCTGGCAGCCGGAGGGTTGATGGGTCCCTGTGTGTGGGGAAGGTAGGTCACCACTGCTGCCTGCTCTGGGGTCTGGTGGGGAGCTGTAGGTTGGCTGGGGAAGGGGACTGGAAGCTGTGTCCCCCAGCGCTGGGGTCTGGCCAGGAGCTGTGCTCCGTGGCAGGGCACAGAGCCTTGGGCACCACCATGTCCCAAGCAGAGGGTCCGTGGCTGGACCTCCGCTCACACCGGTGTCATTGTGGCTGCAGTCAGAGAGCCCGAAGGATGTGGCATCTGCACCCCCGAAACCTGAGCCCCCAAAACCTGAACCCCCGAAATCTGAAACCCCAAAACCTCAGCCTGCGAAGAGCCCTGAGCCACCTGCTGGAAAAGGGAAGAGCCCAGAGCCGGTGCTGAACGGGGCGGCCGTGAACGGGCTGGAGGGCCCGGCTGCCGAGGCGCAGGAGGACGAGGGCCAGGGCCTGTCCCACCGCAGGGTGGTCCGGGTAGTGCGCAAGGTGGTCCGCAAAGTCCTACCAGGGGAGGACACTGGCAGTGCCAAGGAGCCAGGGCAAGATGCCAAGTCTCCCGAGCCAGTGCCACCCCCCAGGAAGGAGGAGACAGGCCGTGCGGGCGTCCCGGCTCC